TATGCATAAATACAGTCACAATTGGTCATTAAACTGCCGTACAATTAGAGGATAAAGAATATATGCCTGTCTACATGTGTTGCGGCACATTTGGAGTTCAAATATCCGCTGCTTAAAGGGTTAGAACAGAACGACACCAATTATATGTTAGCCATTCTATGGGCTTATATATTGTTTCTAAGCTGGAAGCTAAGTGGCCGTAGCTTGTTCTTAAATACACATCTATTTGATGTTTATTTTGAAAGTAAACTTCTGTCTAAACTAAACTGGGAGTGGCAATGTATTTTTTGAGTCACTTCTTGTTCACTCTGTGCCAAACTGCTGTTTGTTGTCATGTCAGTTGAGTTGACTGGTTCACATCACATTCTAATAAAATAACGATATGTAAATGATAACTGAAATGATGCAAAATGGGGAAAACATTTAACTTTTTTTTTTTTTTAGTCAGCATGTTATAAAACTATCGGGTCACTCAAGTAAAATATAATTGGAAAAGTGTTGGAATTAGTTCTGCAGCAATTCAGAAATTTGAGGAATTGTGCACCCATTTTTTTTTGAGCAAATGCTCACAAATGTTTGACAATTGATTTTATTTTTATTTTTTTGTGTACTTGCCACTCACTAGGGGGTCTTCAATCAGAGCAAAAAAAAAAAAAAAAATTACTAGGGTCTTCAATCAGAGCAAAAAAAAAAAAAAAATAGCGCTCTCAACTTCTCTGCAAAATGTTTGGGAGAACATGTCACTGCTTTCCCAATACTTGTTAACGAGGCGAGGACGAGGATGTATGCGGATGAAGCAATCTTTGCATCCGCTACAGGCCAGTTGTGCAATTGGCCGTTCTTAATTACCCACTGTCGCCATGGCAACAAACTTTCCAAAAGCAAAAAAAAAAAAAAAAAAGTAGGCATGCGGTGGTGTCGCACACCAAAGCTTAGCTGCAGTCTACTTTTTTGTTTGTTGACAAGCTATCTAAAAGTTGTGGCCGGTTTCCGGCGTCTGGCTCGAGAACACAACATATCCTGCGACCGGTCGTCTGACTGCCTCTCGGGTTCGTGTCACATTCCCCCGGTGGGCTCCTCGAAATCTCGCTCCCCCCCTTGCTTGCATGACCAGGCGTCCTATTCCTAGATGCCTTCTGTCACTTCTCAGTCATGTGTAAAAGGGCAAGGCCGGGACAGTGTGTGTGTGTGCGTGTCGGCGTGTGTGTGCGTGTCGGCGTAGCTCAGCCATGAGAGCCGAGAGGCCGCATTCCACCGAGGACAACTAAATCCTCAAGGGATAGACCTTCTTAGTCCACTGACGACCGTTCCCAGGCTGTCCCATGCTCCTCTGTCCGCGTGTGTGTGTTCTTGTTTTTTTGTCGCAGTGGGGACACCGCCCCCCCCCACCCGTGACGTGCCACATTTATTGCGTTTCTGTTTTTATGTTGTGTGGCAACATGGAAGACACAAAGATAGGAACCGTTTTTTTTCTCGGGGGATTTTTTTTCTTTGAAATATTTTGGATTTGTAAGAATGTTTTTTGGTTTCTAATTGCCTTGTGCATGTTGCCGTGCAATCTTTTTTGATAATGAAGCGAGATCGCTATTGATTTTGAAGGCGAGCTGTTCATCTTCCTGACCCATCCGCAAAATTGAAGGAGCCCTATTAACTTTTCCCTAACTGGTTCTCACTTCAAAATCAATTCTTTCCGCCACCGCTGCTCAATAACAATAAGTCGCAGTGCGCAGCGGGTGCGTTGATGAGGCGGGCCAAGGTTCAGGCATTTTTTTTTTTTTTTTTATGGAGTTGACGAAGGTCGCCGGCCCACAGATAACCGGTGCACTTGTCTACCAGGAAGCGTTTCACTGTCAACACAGCTGAGGTTGACCAACGCCGAGACAAACTTCGCCAGCTCGCCGTGACCCCGTCGTAGCGCGCCGCTAACTCCCGGAAATCAGAAGCTGTTCGCTGACGTCACAATACGGACAAACAGATATCATCTCCATGGTGACGCTCACCACTCCTCAGGAAGCTGCAGTAATAGTCGTCAGCCACACTCAACGCACAGATACAAGCCGCTTGTTGCTCGACAGTCCTTGCGAGCGCAATCTTAACTGAGCATGTCAAAAAAATAAAAAATAAATAATTCCATGTCCACCACAACAAAAATCCCATTCGTTTTACGTGTATATTTTGACTTAGCAAGACACGTAACAGTGAAATCAAGCTTCTGCGAGCCCCTCATTTTTTCATATGAGCCCTGATGATGAATACCAAATATGGACTGAGGTTTCCCCTTGCCCAGACCAAGTCACCGGGGGCCCCTTTGGAGCCAGGCCTGGAGGTGAGGCTGGTTGGCAAGCGCCTGGAGGCTGGGCCTGGACCCCATGGGGCCCAAAGAGGCAACGTGGGTCCCCCACCGCCCCACCCTGCACTTGAGCTCAGCGCCTGTGGGAGGGGGGAAAAGGGGTCGGGTACTTTGACATTGAGTCCGAGTGAAGCAGAAGGAGGAGTCCTAGTAGCTAAGCGGTGTACAACTTTGACAAGGCGGAGTTTTTGGGGCACAAACATAACCGCTGAACGTGCCATTAAAAAAAACAAACAAACCAAAAAAAAAACATGCTATTTTACATGTAGCTCCGCAGTATTTTGTCTTTTGCATAAAAAGTCATGTTTGCATGGTTGGCTGTTGCTAGGCAGAATCATGGCGCACAAGTGTAACTGCCCCATCGACCTCATGCAAACCACATTAGCTACTGCCGCTCGCCTGCTTTTTACACACTCATGGCATGTATCGCTATCGAGTAGAAGTACAAGACAAGTTTGTGTTGAAGCTTGCTTTGGTGAGAGAGAAGTGCGGTATTCTTGTAGTTGTACTTTTCTTATTCTTAGAATCACCACTCGTGCACTGTTGGTCTGCCAGAGGAGCCAAAGTGTGAGAAGCGCACGCACCCATCCAATAACAGCGCCGTGAGTGAGTCAGTGCGTGAGTCACGCTCCAGCAATGTTGTTCAATTTTATAACAGCCAGACAGTCAGCGCGGCCATACACACTACTCAGAAAAACTGTACGTACACGCACACACATGCAGTTGTTTTCATGCAAAAATAAAAAAAAAATGCTGCTCACAGTCACTGATGTCGGCCGCAGTGTGTCAGGGAACCCTAACGGCAAGTGTTTTTGTTTCTGTCAGAGATGCTGTTGTTAAAACACACACACAGACACACACACACACACACACGGCCAATTATGTTAAGAACTTGCGAGGAGTGTATTGTCGGGAAGTCACTTAGACTTTGAAAGGTCACCTTACCCCGAATAAGTCTCGACTCATTGTCATTAAGTCAGTCAGTCAGTCAGTCAGTCATATACATGCTCAAATATTATTTACATTTGGAAAACATTTTGACCCCTGAACAAATACAAATGACTATTATTCCAAAAAATTATTCAAATTAAAATTATGACATATTCAGAAAAGGATTTTAAAAAAAAGATATCAACTAAATAATTCTGCTCGGCCAAAAGAAACGGGAACGAATTCGTTGATGCGACATTTGGTTTTTTGTGACGAGCCCTCTTTGAAATGCCAATCAGTCCCCTCCCTCCCCAAAAATGACACACAATTTTGAGACGTAAGATATTGAATACAAGATGCTCACAACTGCTCATTAATTAGCAGTAATCGTAGTCACTCTTTGCAGATGATAAAGAACTTGTGGAGCAAGCCCATCTTCATGCCTTCATGTCAGTGTGCCGAGCGCGATTCGATCTGTCACGCTTTGCTGCGTGAGTCACCGGCTGAGGAGTTTCAGTGCGTTATGAAAGGGAAAATGGGGGCCAAGGGCAGAACATTTCCTACATAAAAATGCAACTCTGAGTGCTGTGCAATTAAAAAAATCAAAAATACAAAAAAAAAGATTTCTCTCAAATCTTACTTAAAGACGGTAAATTAGCTACAGGTTTGTAATTATTAAAAACATTGGGGCCCAAACTGCTCTTCTTCAGAAGGGGCCTCACCACCGCCGTTCTAAAGTCGGCGGGGAATACGTTCGTCTGAAGAGAAGACTTTTTGTGTTTATTTGAATAGTTAAAGTGGAGCCACTGAATGTAATGTTGGTTTTAAATTCCTGTTAAAATTATCAACAATAAAATCACAGGGTGCAGGTAAAACGTCAGCAGGAGCGCTCTTTAAAATCTTCATAAAATCTGCACTTCAGAAGTTGGCTACAGCGTTTCCTCACTATTCTGACCGGGGCCGAGGAGGACTGTTATAAACAAAGGCGTGGCGTTGAAACGATAAATATCTGTTAAACATTATTATTAAGAGTCGTTTTAAAAAGTGGTGCAGTGCCACCTCCTCTTTTCACATCCCTGGTAGAAAATAAGAAGTGAAAATTTGGCAGGCAAGCCTCGGTGAGAGCAGCTGGTAATGGCCTGTAGGTGGGTGTAGTGAGCTTTTGATTTCAGTGGTTGCTGGTAGAAGAAGAAGCAGGGACCCGCACTGATTGATTTGTAAACAAGAGGCAGGTGGGAGCGGAATTGATGACTGCTGGGTGGATATTGGCTGCTAGCATTGAGCTGCCCAAAATGTTTCGACGGACACCGTCCGGCTGGTAAAAAGAACGACGATTCCAAAATAGGTTAAATTTGTCAATAAAAGCAAAATCGAGATGACCACAGGTGCTTAGGAGCCATGTAGTCAGACTTAAAAGGCGACTGAAGCGCTCGATGCCGCGGGATAGAGTCGGTAAAATGTCGCTCATCCAGACCGACAGCTCGCAAGTTCTCAGCAAAGCTCAGACGGCATGAACGTCTCTCTTCGTCTGCTCCGACTGTCGACGCGCAGTCTCGTTCGTCCCCAAGTGGACAATGAGCCGGGATATGGATGGTGGAAGAGAATCAAGAAGACAAGGCAGAATGCTTATTATGTCAATAACTTTGCCTTGTCCCCGACTATAATGGCAGTTGGTGGAAACAGAGGATGTGAAGAAGGAGCGCCAGGGGAACCGCAGACTCTTGTGGCAGAATCCCGACCCCGTTGTCCAAAAATGGTGCTGTTGAGGTCAGGTGGCGGCTGAGGACGGCCCCGGCAATTGGCGCCGAGGATGTGACTTACTCTTGACCGCCTTTGAGCGGGCAACCGGGCCACAGGTGGACTAACCCGCTCCGGGATTCCTGGCAGAGTTGGTGATGGTTCTCTGTTCTTCTTGTCGCGAGACATCCCCTCCACCCAGTTGGTACCACGCAGTGGTGTTGAGCAGAATGGACCCGGGATGGCGGCCTGATCCCAAATCACCGTGTCCGTCAGAGAGGAGCCTCAGTCGTCTTTGTCAAGATCTCGCTTTGAGTGCCCATCCATGATGAAAGCGAAGAGTTGGTGGAGACAAGGACTCTTTATTCCAGACATCCTCTCTCAGGTCAGTGATTGTTTTATTTGCGTTTTCCAGTAGGCTTTTTGATTGTCGCTGTGATAGTCAGGTATTTCGATGCACTAACCCCGGTGTCATATGTCAGGCTAACAACGGTTTGATCAACCCGGGCCGGCGTATGCTAGCTGTATGCTAGATGGGAGCATGTCCATAAAAATAAATAAAAGATTCACTGCGTGCAAAAATGGAAGAAAAATAGCTTGAAAAGAAGCTCTGCCAACTGGAAACAAACTGGGAACAGCAACAATGACTTCAAATTCCCTCTGGCATCCTTTTTTATAGCCTTCACACCACTTGGCAAAAGTCTTTACAGTGCTGTTAAAATGCCAGATTTTTGTGATTGGGGGGAAAAAAAAATATCCATCCATCCATCCATACATCCGAGCTGTTTATCCGGACGAGGGTTGCGGGCAGTCGTTGTGTTTGGAAAAAAAAGTCACAATAAGTCTTCAAGAACAGTTTATTTGGAGTTCTTAATAAGATGGCTGCCAGTTCATTTTGAACATAGCCATGCCGCCGCTTATCTTGTTTCAGGTTTGCACTTACTTTCCCTCGAAAAGTTTTCCCTTTTTTCCCGAATAATTGGGAAGCTGTGAAAAATGTCAAAAACAGTGGGATATGATCAATGAAGTAACACCTCCCTCTAGTGGTCCGGCTGACATGGTACAGATGATATGTCCTGATTGTTGTTGACTGTTGAACCACCAGAGGGCACACTTGGACAATATATGCTGTGCATTGTTGTCACTGATTGAATGAATGAATATCCTTTTTTGGGGGGTTAATGTTCTCGAAAACGCGCCAGTTTTTGCAAGACTGTTCTGTTGCAAATGTGTCCCATCGGTGGTCTCCGAAATCACCCTGTAGCGCCCCCTGCCGGATTAGAAAAGCGGTGTCCCTGACAACAGGTTGGCCAATTGAGATCAAGGAGGAGATGCCAGGAATCGAACAGGAAGTTGGCCATTTTAGACTGAAATGGCAATTTTAGGGTCGATTTCATGGCTTGAAAGTTTAAAAAAAAACAAACTACCATAGGGCCTGACCTCCGTTTTGCCCCTCGTAAAGAAATTGGGCTGTCATGAGAGGACACCACAAGATTTCTCAAGCTCCAATTGCACCAGAAGTTGACCAGTTTAAAATGAAAGAGCCATCTAGGTGAAATTTCCAGGGTATGTAATTAGGGTTAGGTGGCTAGGGTTAGTCGCTAACACCTTCAAGGGAATTCACCCAAATGCCCCCAATCGGAAGCAGATGGTTGACTCTAATTTGCCGGAGATTTTAGTCTACCGGTACGCCGTCATCTGTCAGAGGGGTCTTGGCTTCAAATCTGCATCATTTCAAGGATTTTAGTTTGTAAATGAAATACTGTCATAGAAATAAAGCCTTTGTGATGTGGCGCTCCTGGCGGAATGAATGAATGAATGAATGAATGACGGGAGGCACGACCGGCCTCTGCCTCAGGATTGTGTGCGTGTGCGTGTGTGTGTGTTTGGGAATGCATGAATGTCACCAGCTGGCGCATCTGCTCGGCTGGTGGAATACGTCCAAAAAGCTTAATTATCAAGCGTAATCATGCGTGAGATTGAAGCGAGGGAGCGGGCTCTGCGTGTAAAAACAACACACACTGGCTGCTGTGTGTCGCACATCCCACGAGGCTGCCTTGCGTGTGTGTTTGTTGTGTACTCATGTTGTTCATTAAACTCCACTAATAGAAGCTTTCTCCAGCTCCAGCGCTGCTTCACCGCGTGTCAATATTTGGCTAAAAATGGGACATTTAACAATTCATGCGCAAACGCCGTGTTGCACTTTTTGGCTCCACCCAGCAGACAATTCAAGAGGCGCACCTTCTTCCGAATGTTTTGACCTTCTCACGTGGTCACTGGGGTGACTGACAGCCTTTTTTCGCACTCCACCTCCAACCACCTTGAACAATGTCACCGCAGCCAAGACACCGCTGACACGCTCCATCGCTTTTATTGACCGGCTGACAAAGCCCAGGGTCCTGTGGTTGCGGGGGGGTGGACAACCAGGTGGGGGTCCGCACTCATTAGTGTCCATGCGGCCGTCATTGTGCTTATTGGGCTTCCCGTCTCTCGGGCTCCCTCAGGAGCCGTGTGGCAAAATGTCAGACTAATTAGCCTCGGACGACTCTGAGACACTACCTGCTGCACTCTCCAGCGGCTAGCACGAGAAGCTAACGTAGCACTTTTAACATTATCAGGCAGCAAGGGATGCAAATGTGCACAAGCCATGAAATTCACCCCCAAATTGGCCACTTCGAACCAAAATATTTGCCTTCAGCCTCAATTCTGGGCATGGGAATTTGAGACTTTTTCATGCATCCTATTATGATAGACATGTCATTGACATTTCGTGTCCATGAAATTTTTTTCCCAAACTTTCAAGACGTGAAATTTGCTCAAAAGTGGTTGCTTCGAACCAAACTGTCTGACTTTGTTTGATTTTGGTGTATGGGTCCATGAGACTTTTTCATGCATCTTGGACATGTCGATTTTGATTTCAATATGGGGAGTGAAACTGGAGTCGTGGGCAATTTTCTTTTCTAATTTACCAGTCTTAGAATTCACCCCATAATGGCTGCTTCAATACAATACAATACATCTTTATTTATATAACGCTTTCACAACAGCTCCAGCTGTAACAAACCGCTTGACAAAAGGTGGAGGTGTTCCTAATAATTGCACGTTTCCCAAAAATGTGTTGAAATGGGTGTTCCTCAAGGCTCACATCTTAGCCCCCTGACTTTATTGTTTTCGATACAACCTGTCTTGTCAGATGTGATGGCAAACTGATCGATGTATATTCCATTTCATAATGGGCAGTGGCTCATGACGTATTTGTATGTATTTGGTATCACTGGCAAATAATTTTCAAATGTTTCCATTTTCAGACTCCAAAAATCCGTTGTCCACCATTTTATTTCTACTGGGTAAAACACCTGAGTTTTGACCATGTAGATCGAAGCGAGAGTGTCTTTTTTTGGGGTGGAAAATCTCCACTCTGAGACGCGTTCAAACCTTTTTACATTGCGGGTGTTTTGATTTGAATGTGCATGCCTCAATTTGATCGTTTTGAACATTTAACGCCGGCGCCATTCATGGTGCCATTTTGAAACGAGCCGGTTAAAAGACTGACGTCTGTTTCCGCGGCGATCCATCATCACCCCCACATCCCGCCGCCATCAATATGCAAATGAGGGGGAATAAAACGGCCGCCGAAGCGCGAGTGCCTTCCCCAAGTGCATTCATTAGCCACCGTTAGCATAATTGATTCCCAGCACAGCCGTAAAAAAGACGGGCCACTCCTTCTATTCCCCGTAGTGTCGCCCTTTGGGACCCGGGCGGGCTGACTTCCATCATCAATCATTAAAGTGCATAAAGTGCTCGACTCAAAGAGGGGAGTCCCAGAGAGGAGAGCCCCAGAGCGGAGACCCCAGGTCGGTGATGCCTAAATCACCGAGTGACACGTACTAAAGTCCACCTGCACCCCAAACAATCATTTCTTAAGGAGCTAGGTGAATTGAAGTCCGCAACACAGAACCCCATTCATGTAAAAAGTTTAAAAATGACAAAAATTGACGTGTTTTTCGCCAGGACGGATATGAAACTTCACTTTTACCCCACCTCAATGACATCATATTTATTGCCTCATTCTTTCCTCAATTAAACTAGCTTACCGAATTAGCATATTCGCTAATTAAAATGCCAGCGTTGTCGTAACTCTGAGACGTCGACGTTCCGAGCAGGTGTAGGCCCCATTGAGGCGCCATAACCAAACTAGAATTCCCAAACGGATATTTCATCTGCCTGTCAACATCCTTCATCTTTAAGGTTATGATCGGGCGGCAAAGGCCCGACCCACATATCCCCGTCCCGCCCACCAAAGTAGGGACGCCCCTTTCCGTGATGTGCGGCACCTTGCAAAATGGCACATATTCATCAAGAATATTCATGATGGGCACAGATGGTGCGGAAATGGACTCGGTGTTGAAGACGCCGCAACCGGGCAGGCATATTAATGGAGCACGGATGCAAATGATGCATTTTGATATTTTGCCGCGATAATGCCTCGGCTTCAGGGGAGCCAGGAAGTGAAGCTGCAGCCAGCAAGTGGCTCCCACTTAGTCAACTTTTCAAGATATTGACGCGACACTAAGTGAAGTCAACCTTCAGTTCCAGATGCTTCTCCTAGAGGGCAGTGATGCTTTTCCTCCACTTGAGATGATATCATGAGACGCTTTATTAAGCACACGCAATGACAAACCAACCGTACTGTTTTTAAATCCGTTGGTTTCATATGCATCTGCACACACACAGACATTTATTTTCTCTTTTTTTTTTTTGTGACGAATACATGTGTTGAATGTTGGAAAAATAGAAAAACGAAAGACGCAAGGCCTTTTTGCCGTCCCCGCTCCTCCGGCTTTTTAGTGCCTCTCAAATGAAATGGAGGCAGGTGGCGCTCATGCATTTTTAACACTTGTGCGCCACCGTCAACGCTGATTTGCAGGCCGCCTGCACCTGTTTTCTTTGCCCGCCTTGATCCTCCATCGCGCCGCGTCGACTTCGAAATGGACTTTGGCTGTGAGGCTCAAAAGTTCTCCGCCGACATCTGCAATTGCCTCACACCCTGGAAACAAACACAGGGCGGCTTCGCTACAGCTGACCCCAAAATAGTTTATGGGGCACTTTGCAATTAAAATAAATAAATAAAATCAAAAATAAAAATAATAGTTTTAAAAAATGGTTTAAATACCAAATAATCTGCCAACAAAGGTTTTCCACCCCACAAAATTATATATTTTTTAATATTAAAAAAATTTATATAAAAAATATTGTACTTAAGTGACTGGGTGAATCCAAGATACTGAACCGCGAGTCTGCGCGATCCACTGTAATTTGCCATCGGGGGGGGGGGCTGATTGTCACCAGTAGCAACAGTCAAGTGGTTTGGTCATGCTAACCATA